GGGGGGGGGGGGAGAGGCCCCATGGGTTGCATCCAAGCCATTATAAAATGTCATCACCTTCTCTGAAACTCAGCGTCATAGTATGTACTACCACTTTAGTGGTGGAGGGTCTTAGACAAGATGAATACAAATATTCTGGCAAATATGTTGGGTTTTCTATGGGATTCCCAATGAATATCAGTATCAAATCAAACTTTACCTGTATGATGGTGAAAATGGCTTGCACAACAGGGAAAGTGGTCATTAGCATGGAGGCACAATGTTGCAGTTCATAGGAATAGCCCAAGGAGAGGCAGTCCAAAACCAGGGTGGCCAGCGCAAAGAGAGACAGACCACCTGCCGTGATAAGAAACCCAGTCACGCCAAACATTGCAGAAATAACTGGATACTTGATTCCACACTGAGCACTTTTTTGTCTGGGTGCAGAAGCTGTAAGGCAATTTATGCGTCTATTTCATGGTGCTCATCAATTTCAAGACTGGTTATTCAGTATGAAATGGACATGGCATTTCTGCAGAAGGAGAAAGACATCCTCATCCTTGTACTGAGCTTAACCAAAGTGAAACCCTAGTATCAGCTGATTGCTTTTCAGATATGCAAAATCCACCTCCACAGTCAGCATTGTAGGCTGACATTTCTGTAGGGCAACAAATTGGGGGAAGTCCTTTCACTACACCCATGTGGCTAAAAATCAGGTCTGGCATGGGAAGGGGGATTGTGCACTGGACTGAAGAGGGCCCCCTGCACTGCAAATATGGGCATCACGTATGCGAGCCGAAGCCTGTGGGAGTAAATGCTATTTATTTGATTTTAAGTTTTCTTTCAAGGTATTTTATGCCCTCTTTCAGGACAGAGTCTTCTCAGGGCAACTTATGGAACACAGAACACCACAAAATAAATCGCTGCTGAAATAAGCCAACAGGATCTCAAGGCTTGTATGCCATGGCTGATCTAAGTCCAGGCCAAGAGGTCTCCTTCTCTGATTAAGATGTCAAAGCCAAAAATACTATGACATTTCCTGACCCCAGCATTTCCACAGGTACTCTTCACATCTCTGGAGAGGATCATCCAGGCCTTTTGACAACAAGGGACCTTGAGGGACCTATGGATGGGGCCATGATGAAACTACCCCACCAATGGAGACAGAAGAGGAGGCTGCACACCAGCCAATTCTAGAGAGACCCACTGCTCTCCAGAGGTTTAGGTGCAGACAGCACCCCTTTGTTTAAGCACATGTCCCAGAAAAACCCAGTTAACCTTGGATATGCATTGTGCACTTTGTTGGATTGTTTTTATAGGTTTAATCCCAGCTTCTGTTTGGAACTCTGCATTTTCTGCTTGCATATAGGGTAGCCATGAATCTTTCTTTCTTTTTTCTTTTTTGCACATTTTTTATTAAGATTTTAAACTAAAAACTAAAAAAATAATCAATCATCAAATACATCGGAGGTACTGGGTCAGCCCCCTATAACATATCTTTTAAACATTCTATAATCATATTCAAATTGATTTATAAAAATTTAAAGACATCTTTAAATCTAAGCCAAGTCCTGTTTCTCCAGCCACTCGTAAAAAAAGTCCCAAGTTTGATAGAAGTCAAAGATGGAGTCTAGATAAAGCGTTACTAAAAGATAAAAAATTTATAGAAGAGATAATCAAAGAGATGCAAATATTCTTTCAAATAAACAAAGCAGAAGAAACTTCTTTACAGAATGTCTGGGATACAGCTAAAGCCTATGTCAGGGGACTGATAATAACCTACTCAGCAAAACTAAATAAAAAGAAAAAGCAAGAGCGAGCAACATTAGTAGAAGAATTGAGGAAATGGGAACAAGAACTGCAGGCGGATCCAACAAAAAGAAATCTTAAGGTCCAAATGAATATTTTAAAGCACAAAGTGAATCTCTTGGATACAAATGAACTTACTAAGCAAATGAAATTGGCCAAACAGATTTTTTTTGAAAATGCTAATAAACCGGGGAGATGGCTAGCATATAAAGTAAAAAAGAAAGAGAGAAGAGATTGATTTCGAAACTGAAAGATGGAGAAGGACAACTACAAGTACGAAATACACAAATTAAGAAAATAGCTGAAGATTTTTTTTGCAAGGTTATACCGGAAGGAGGAGTTTTCGATCAAGAAGGTAAAAGAATACATTCGAAAGGGAGATTTACCAAAATTACCAGAAAAGTATCAAAAATATTGAATCAAGAAGTAACAACTATGGAAATAACAGAGGCAATCATGTGACAAAAGAACGATAAAACCCCTGGTCCAGATGGGCTACCAGCTGAATTTTACAAATCTTTTGAGGGAATTTTTGCTACCTTTCTCAAAGACATATGTAATGAAGCATTGTTAACTGCTAAAATACCAGATACCTGGACAGAGGCAAATATCACACTAATACTGAAAGAAGATACGGACTTAACACAGATTCAGAATTACAGACCCATATCATTATTAAATGTGGACTATAAAATTTTTGCCTCTATATTGGCAGAAAGGTTGAAGAAGTTTTACTAGACTTTATTCATCCAGACCAAAATGGTTTTCTGCCTAAAAGACAAATGAAAAACAATCTGAGGACTATTTTGGATATCCTAGAATACTACGAGACACACACGGAAAAATCAATGGCTCTACTGTTTTTAGATGCCCAGAAAGCCTTTGATAATGTTAATTGGCAATGCATGATGCAACAGATGGACCAAATGGAGTTTGGGGGAAAATTTATGAATGAGATATCAAGCATCTATCAAAGACAATCGGCCACGATTTTAATTAATGGAGAACGTACAAGGGCTATAGAGACACAAAAGGGTACAAGGCAGGGATGCCCGCTGTCACCCCTGCTGTTCATCCTGACTTTAGAGGTCTTGAATAGAAACATTAGGGATGACGAGGACATTAAAGGTACTAAAATTAGGGATGAAAAGTATAAATTGCAAGCATTCGCAGATGTTTTGGTCTTTATAATAGAGGAACCTTTTGTAACAATCCCTAAACTTTTACAACGGATTGAAGCATACGGTGAGGTTACGGGGATGAAAATAAATAAGGAAAAAATGAAACTTTTAGTTAAAAATCTTATGCAAGGTCAGAAAAAAAGACTCCAAGAACAAGTGGACTTGCAGATTGCCAAAAAGGTTAAGTACTTGGGAATCTATCTTACAGCTACATGCACAACTGTGAAAGCAGACAATTACGATACATTATTGAAAGGTATTAAAGCTGATCTGGAAGGATGGGCCAATTTGCAACTGTCTTTGGTGGGAAGGACTTGCACTGGTTACAATGAACACACTGCCAAAACTTTTGTTTTTGTTCCAAATGGTTCCCGTAAAAATTGATGAAATTTTTTTGAGGATTTAAATTTTCAAATTTTGAGATTTATTTGGAGAAAAAAGAAAGCAAGGATTAAACTGAAAATGCTTCAGGAAACCAAAAAGAATGGGGGTTTTGGTTTACCGGATTGGATGTTGTACTATCAAGCGTCTATTTTAACTTGGCTAAAAGAATGGATAACCAAATGGTGATTTAAAGCATAAGCAAAGAATGGATAAAATAAGAGAATTTTGTATCTTGAAGGACATGATTTGCAAATGGGTTGGCGTGCTTATATGTGGTATGAGAAGGTTAAGTCTCATGGGACTTTTTAAAGTCACTTTATTAGAAGATCATTAATGTCAGTGTGGGAAAAGTTAAAGTCAAAATTGTATAATAAGTTGCCAAGATGGCTTTCACCTATGGAAGCTTTTGTGTATCCAAATGTATTGAATTTTGAAGGGATCATAAGATATGATGATATTTTGGATAAGGATGGAGGCCTGAACCTAGATCAAGAAATACAAGAACAGGGACTCAATATCTCGTGGTGGTATAAGGTGCAGATGCAATCAAGATATGCTAGATTGTAAAATATGCGGGTTTTATAAAGACCTAACAGCCTTTGATCAAATGATGAATCTTTCTTTATGATTCTCTATTTGGAGGACTTTCAGGGGACAGTCCTCTGTTTGAAACTGTCAAGGGTTCTCCAGTCCAAGTCTGTTTAAAGATAACAAACCATCAGAAAAGAGCTCTCTGGGGCCTTGAAGTTGTCTGTCAAAAGTTAGCACCTGAATAGCATGTAGAAACACATTTCTTGGACACAGTCTTCTACACTATGGTAGTTCATTGTTTTTCTATTTAAATTATGTAGCAATTTTCTCTAAATGCTCATCTGTACACATCAATTATCACATGCAAACTGTATGCAAATAAGCTCCCTCCCTTTTAGTGATGGATATGTGGCCACTCTGCCTGCCACTTCAACCTACCCCAGTCCTGCACAGGTCCCCCATTTTACTCTGACAGCTCTTCTGTTGCATGTGGGTTGGGGAGCATGTTTGGACCAAACTCAAATGGGTATGCAGAAGGCCTGAGGCACTTGAACAGAACTTAGGCATGAACCATTAAAACAGTTATTGGAGGGACCTGGTAGGTCCAAGCACCACATCTTCCCTACAGGACTGAACTGTAATAAAGTCCTATGTACCATAGGACAGTACACGCTTGATTCCCCTTTAATAGAAATGCCTGGACTTTGGAAGACTTGGGTTAGTGGTGGTCTTTGAGAAAACCTGGGCATCAGTAGATTACAGTAGACAGTATTTTTGTTGCGTCTCTACCTTTGAGCCAGCTTGCTCCAGCCTGGTGATCCTGATGCTTTTTCAGCTGCTTGTTGCTAGCAGAGCGCCAGCCAAACCAAAGCATCCAGATGCAGGAAGAGATCATGAGCACCGCCAGGAAAGCGTGGACGCTGTGGCTCAACGAGCTGTTCTGATGCGTCTCAGCCAGGAGTACAGCGCTGCCCACGAAAGTGAGCAAAGCCAGATAGAGGAGGGAGAGCAGTGAACTCGATCGCGTGGTGGATGCCATGGGTGAGCAGTGTCTCTCTGCCAGAGCGCTGCAGAGTGGCAGTGAGCAGCCTGGCATTACAGAGGGTCCGACTGTGGACAGAAATAGGTCAGAGGAGGAAGAGCAGGCACAGGCACATACTCAGCACACAAGTAGTCCAAACCATATACTTACCTGTGTCCTGTCATAAAAACTGCACAATTCAGTGGCTCAGTCTGAGGTTGTTGAAGGTGTGGAACTGAATTGCTTCAGCCTATCTTAGCTGAGTCTAAATAGGGATGTGTGAACACCTGATCAACTGGTATTACATTGTTGCCCAGAGAGCTACATCTATGGGGGCATATAGAAACAAAATAAATATATTAAAAGCTCTCGGAGAGCCTCCAAATTTCACCTCAGAGCTTGCCTTGCCTTGTTCATGTTCCCAAAATGAGCATCTTTTTTCAATAGGGAAGAGTGCACATTTCCCCTAATAGGCTAAGGTATGTATTTGTGGATTTTTGTGGTGTGTGATGGGGAATGTGTACATGCGTACCTGTGTACTCCCAAAAATATGCACTGGTGCATCTGTGCATTTTTGGGAGTGCATATCTGTGCATTTCCAGACATGAACACAAAGTCTGGGAAACTGCAAATACTTCCAAAGAATTTTGTTCCTGCTTATGTTCATGACTGGGACATGTCGTTTTGCATGGTTTGCAAACAGGAAAAAAAAAAACACCTCTCATATATACTTAAATGACGACTTTCATGAACTGGTGGTGCCAAGTTACTGATGCAATGTGGAAAAACTCACATGATTCTATTATATGTTCAAATCACAAAGATAAGCCAAGGGGTATCCCAAATTATACATCAATGTCCCCAATACACTTCGCTCTACAAACGCCATGGCTGCATGACTGGCCCACGGCTAGGGATGCCAGGGAAATCTACAAGAGTTGAATGAATTTGGATTTCTCCAAATCCAACCTGTGGATTTTGCAGTGGACTGACTTTTTCCAAGGAAGAACAATTCCCAGATATATGAAATGCAAGTACATGTTTTGCATATTCTCTAATCTGGCCCAGAATTCTTTTTAAACAACCTATTCTTTGTTTTGAGACAATACATACTCCTTCATTTGTATGGGACTCTTATCATCTCTGAAGATGCTAGACCCTGGATGGGCATGCATCTGTTCTTACTGGTTTCTGCAATCCCTGATGCACTGCCACAGCCACTGGGTGATTTAAAGCATAAGCAAAATAACATCTATCCACCTTTCATCGAACTCATCCTTAGCTTGAGCCCACCAGAAATATGGAATTCAGCACCAGGGAACCCACTTCCTACGAATGGTTAAGTAATCAGTGCTCTGTCTTCCCTGGCCTGACACCAGCACTCCTGTGTACACAAATGCAAATCCTTCAGATATCTACTAATTCCTACACTTATGTTCTTTGCAAGAGGATTGAGAAGTTCTGGATCACAACTGTTAAGTAAACAGAGTTTGGGATTGCAGATTTAAGAGGGTGTGTGTGCATACATAGTAAAGGGTCCTCTCTTGTTCGCCTTTCAATGTATCCCATCTAACTGAATACACTGCCCTTCACATGCTATGATGCCACCTTTATCTCTTGGTACGCAGAAGTCCTATCCCATTCATAGTCCCACCCTGTGTGTTTTTCTTAGGCTCACATCTCATGCACAATGAAACAAGCTCCAGTAATGCTTTTTTTAGCATGAAGAACTGACAGTGTGGAACACAGAGATTGCCCTGGGCTGGATCGGAGGGCGGGGTGGCCGCCTATCTAGTATCTAGAAATGATGGGATGTAATGAGCTATAGTCTCTAAGGCACACAACACATGTGTATTTATTAGGAAGCTGACAACTCCCACTAATGTCTAAATAGCTTAACTCATGAAAACATTTTCAGGTTAGATGAAAGACCTATCAAAGACAATGGCTGTCCAGGGCTTCAGGCAGGATTCCTTCCTAGCTCTACTGGAAGATGCTGTAGTTTGATCTTAGGACTTTCTGCATCGCAAGGAAGTGTTCTGCCACTGAGCTATAATTCCAAGAATTGAATGAGCATACTTTACCAAGCACATTGGTTATCACACCCACACTTCCGAAGTACAATAAGGACTGAACAGATATTGCTAGACAAGACACACACAGAATCAAGATAATCCCTAAAATACCCAAGAAAAACCCTTTAAAAAAACCAGTCATGGACTGAGGCTACCAATTTGTGATATCGGGGGAAAATATACACCCCACCAGTCTATCCAAAACTCTTGGGGATGGGCTTCAATAAAACTTTAAAACCTGCATTTAAAGCTCACCCAATTTCCAGAGCCTCGTTTTTGCAAAACCACACTCTCTCAGTATTGTTGAAATTCTGGGAAACCGGTGCTCTTGCTCATTCCTGCCAAGACTGATTTGGCACTTGAGTGAAGGAACTGGCGAGGCAAGGCATTAATATATAAGGATGATGGCCCTGGGGGGCAAATTGGGACCACTCCCACCAGCATAATGAGAGGTTAGGAGATCAGAACTTTCACAGGTATCTTTTCTCCTTCCCTCCTTGCCCCCTGCTTAGTTTTCAAATGTCTCTCTTCAGGCAAATGGAATTGAACAAAAAGGGCATTACTAGAGATTTAATACTGCAGACCTTTAAGAACTGGTCAGGAAAATAGACATACTAGTTCTATATTAGCAAAACAAAAGGGCTATGAGTATTATGGCAAGAGATTCATAATTTCCATGGATCTGTTGACATGCTCTGAGAAAGAAATGTTGAAATATTTGCTTTGCAATATATGTATTTATTTGCCATCTGAACAAAGAACCTTTAAAATATTTTAAATAATTAAAAAACAATATTTCCAGGAAGATTTCATTGCTCAATGAATGTCCTGTGACTGCATCTTTGGTCATATTAGCTCATGAATATACACAAATAAATTGATCTAGTCAACTGAAATACTTAAAAAACACCTTATATAGCAATGTATTAATCCGTGTTTCATTCATAATAATTGTACATATAATTCAAAGTAATTGATACATCAACATTTAATAGTGCAATCCTGTCCATGTTTGCTCAGAAGTCCCATTACTCATGCACAGGATTGCATCCTGTGCCTTTCAAATAATGTAACTTGAATAATACAGAGAAGTGTTTTCACATTTAATGAATGTACACATTTTCTGTCATATTTATTAGATTTTCATCCTGCCCTTAAGAGTCTTATGGCATCTTAAGTACCCCAATCCTAATATTTTCAGAACTTCCATATTTGTAAATATTGGGATAAGCGAGTTCCAGTTTCCCAAATGTGCAGAAAGTGTTCAAATATGGAAGAGGTATACTAAAGATATGTTTCAGCATCAGATACAAATTCAGTAGGCAAAAGCAGCCCATAACCAGCATGCGGGTCTCAGCTGGGTCACGTGTGCACTTCCTATGTGAAGCTGTTCCCTTTCATCATATACACAATCGCATTTTTTCCTAGAGATTCTGCTTGCCCCCCTAAATTATGCTGCCGCGCATCCGTCCTTTTCCTAGATCCACAGAGCCGTTGTATCTGCACAATGCCCACTTGCCCTACACAGGCTAGTAAACAGGCTAGTAAGGCAGCCCCCACCCACCTCGACCAGTTCTGCGGCTGGGGCAAGCCGCACTCTCTTGTCAAGGACCCCACAGGTCTCCTCTCCCAAGTCGGACTGTCAGCAAGGAGGGCAGAAGAAGGCACTCTGCGCATGCTCAAGGGCACGTTTCGTTCGCTTTTCGAGAGGCTGCGCCGACAGGCTGAAAGATGGAGCTTCCCATAAAACGGAGCCCGGCGGCCTGCGTTCACCTGCAGGACTCGAACAGCCGCGACCGGCTGCCGGGCGAGCGCAGCACCAGCGCCTCCCCTCCCTCCGCGGCCAGTGCCCGGCGGCACGTAGCAGGGATCAGCGCTGCCGCCGGAGAGCCCCGGGCAGCAGAGGCGCCGGCGAGGAAAAGGCCAGCCGGGCAGCTGGCAGGCCGCCCGCGCCGCCTAATCCGCCCGTGCAAGCGCTGCCAGGACGGGCAGCCGCGGCGACGGCCCCACCCTGCCCCGAAGCGCCCCGCCTCGCCTCCCGCGCCCTCCCAAGGCTCGGAGGAACTTGCTAGGCCGTGGCCCAGCCTCTTGGACGCGCCCCCGCGCCCCTCATTGGCTCGCTCGGCGAGGGCCGGGATGCTCGTCCGCCGTGACAGCCAAGGAAGGGGCTGGCCTTGCAGAGCGCAGCGCAGCGCCGCCGCCGTTTGAGAGCCGCTTGTGTGGGGCCGTTGGGTGAGCCGCCGCTTGTAGGAACAAGTGAGTTCAATCCGCGGGAGATCGCGGCCCCAAGTATTCCAGGGTGCGACGCGCGCGCCCCGACCTCGTCCTGGGCTCCTCTTCCGCGCCTCCTCTCCTTGTTGCATTTCTTTTCATCAGCCTATTGCTCCTGATTTGTTCCGATTCCCCCTCCCCCCCGCGCATTCTTCATCCATTTCTATATGAGTCAGTGACTTTGGGAGGGCGCCAGGCGCGTCACGAGCGCTTGCGTGCGCCCGCGGGTGCCTCCCTGCACACGCCGCATCCAGTGAGTGGGTAGGCATCGTGCCTGAGGCGCAAGGGGCCGCCTGGCCGGCAGGCGTGGAATGTGAGTCGGCGGTCGCAGCACATAACGGGATCCGCCACCCGAGCAAGCAGCCTCCTCCGGTCTCAGCAGCGCCGGACTCGTGGCAGTCTGAGCGCTGAGTCTGAGCAGCGCGGCGAGTGTTGCTCGGAGAACTTGTGCGTGTGGAAAACGGCATGGCTCGCGCTGGATGGCATCTTAAGATTGACCATGCGGACATCCTGACTACAGCATTCATTCAACCTTTCGCCTCTCTTCCTCCAAAATTCTTTTTGTGTAACCCCTTGTCTAATGAAAAGACCAGAAAACATGCACATTTGGGGTGTGCCTGAGAGTGATTTTTGTGTTTGCCTAAAGTAATGTGGATTTTGGAACCAGGTCAAATGAGACTCATCACCCTGCTTTTCTTTTTGCCCCCCACTCCCTTCTTTTTTTGCTTCTTCTTGGACCTCCTGAAGGATGCCAGACAGATACATGTTTTAATAGCAAAAGCCAGTTTAAAGATTGCAGAGTGTTCTTTAAAATATCCTAACCTCACTAAGCTTGGCAGAACTGGATGGGCCATGACTTTTTCCAGGAAGAGCACATCCATCAAATGGGTGCTGTTCCAGCTGACATCTCCTACCCATTTCTCCCCTCCCCAACTTGTGGGGGGAATGCTAGTCTGCTGTTCCCAGATTACAGGGATTCCAGAGCTTATGGAAACTGAAAGCAACTTGAAGCCTTATTTATTTATCTATCTATTTGCACTTGTTCAAAGGAGATCACCACATCTCTGTTTCATTCTTGCAAGAACTCCGTGAGAGAGGTTAGTCTGAGAAAGATATCTAGCTCAAGCTCACCAAGTGATCTATCTTCATTGCTGAGCAGGGATCTGAGATCCCACTTCCATGCTATGCCCCACTGGCTGGGTTTACAGCTTCTGGGGTTATAAAGCACCCCAAGAAGCCATGGCTGGTTCTACAGATTACTACCCATCCCTGGGCTTGCTGTGTTACCTCCAACCCAGGCAACACAAGCCCAGGGGTACCTAAAGCACTGGAGAGCCATTTGTCAACAGTGGCCAGAACGCTTGCCCTCATGCTAAGCAGTACTGGGTGAGGGGCATTTGGGGTCAGCTGTCGCTGCTGTGCATTGCTGCTGCTGTTGCTGACAGCGTGGTCCAAACTGGGGATAGGCTCATAGAACAGGAGAGTTGGAAGGGGCCAGAAAGCCATCCAGTCCAACCCCCTATTCAGTGAAGGACACCAGGTTAAACCATCTCTCTTAGATGGCTGTCTGGTTGCATCCTGAATGGGAGAGCCCACAAACTCCTGCGGTAATTGCTTCCATTGTTGTTCTGCTCTGACAGTGAGGATTTTTTTTTCTGACATCCAGCCAGAAACTGGCATTCTGTAACTTGAGTCTGTTATTCCATGTCCTGCACTTTGGGATGATTGAGAAAAGATGCTGTCCTTCCTCTTTCTGACAGCCTTTCCAGTACTTGGGGAGTGCTCTCATATCTCCCCTCAGTCTTCCCCTCGCGAGGCTAAACATGCCCAGTTCTTTCAATCTCTCCTCACAGGGCCTTGTTTCCAGGCTTGTTGCCCTCCTCCAAACTGTTTCCAGCTTGCCTGCATCTTTCTTGAACTGTGATGCCCAGAACTGCACACAGTACTCCAGGCGAGGCCTAGCCAGTGCTGAGTGCTGGTAGAAAGAGCGCTCGGCTGTAGGCCTGGGAGATCTGGGTTCTAGTCCCCGCTCAGCCATGGAGCCAACTGGGTGACTTTGGGCCAGTCACAGCCTCTCAGCCCAACCTACCTCACAGGGTTGTTGTTGTGGGGATAAGATGGAGGAGGAGATGTAAGCTGCCTTGTGTTTTCCGCAAGAATAAAAAGGGTGGGATAAAAGATAATGTAATATAATGTAACAATAATACTCTCAGCAAAAAAATGAGGGACAGAAACCCTAGTAGGTAGGTATTAAAATTAGCTTCGAGCTCCGCTTTCGTGGCTGAGGGCTGTTGGCCCAGCTAATCTGAATTTATGTCCTCTCTCTCTTTTCCCTGCCCCACCCTACCCCACTGCCATGGGTAGATTGAACAATACCCATGGTAACAAAAACTTGCTTTGCATGCAGTTGTCTTATTGGAATTGTTTCATAACATCACATAGTTCTAGCCCATTCACTAGAATGCAGGGTTTTAAACATTATACACTTTGTAAAAGTGTGCAAGTCTTTTTGTTATTATTAAAAGGGGTGATAGAAGATACTCCCTGTTCTCTCCCATAATGGCACCTGTCAGGAGCGGTGGGGAAAATATCACAAAGTCAGGAAAAGGCTACTTTGAAACATAATTTCCCTCTACCATTTAAGCTCAGGGATAATAGAATCATAGGGCATTTTAAAGTGAAACTCAATTCTCTGCTCTCAAGCTTTTTGTAGAACAGCAGCAGGCAAATAAATATTCCTGTGAACTTTTCCAGGCTAACAGGGAAAAGGTACCTCTTGCTAGCTTCATGGATGCTACCTTTCACCACCATTCCCATCTTCACCTGAAATTGACTCATTTCCTTGTTCATGCCATTTTGTCTCACTAATGAGAACAGAACTTAAATCTCTGAAATGTCATTGGGATCGATCTGTATCCTTGCATGTTCTTTTGTGTGCAATCTCTATAGGAAAATGTTGGCGTAGTCTTTCTAATAATACCATGGATTATCTTTCCTGGCTTTTTTTGCTTTTATTTTGCTTCTATGTCTCACAAAGTGTTTATTCAAAAGGATTATTCCTTCCAGAGAAAAAGCAAAAATATTAGAGGGAGACATTTTACTTTGAGGCAGGGAGGGGAATGTTTGTTATTTTTCTCATCACCTCGGTAACAATCTGGACATGGAAAACAGGATTTAAAGGGCAACTGCTGTTTTTTCCCCAAAAATGTAAAAGGCACTGTAGGGAGTGATTCCCTTTCTTGCTTAATGTAAGCCCTGCTTGATGTAAGTCATTTAAAATGAAATATAACTGAAAACATTTTTTGAAAGTTCAGCTTTAAATGCTAGGCAAGCAGTAATTTAAAAGGTACATCATCTGATCTGCATTGCCCTGCCTCCTCTTTGCTTTAGGGATGACTAAGAACAAAGGCTCAATCCATTTTTGATCAGAATTTACTGAAATTTGCACATTTCTTCATATTAGGAATGGAAAGAACTTCAGTTTTTTGAAATGTGAGTGTTGAAGAAAGTAAAATTGACAAATTTGCCCAGAAGGTCCAGAAACTAGAGGCTTCCCGTAGGCTTCTTAAACCTGGCGCCCTCCAGATCCTTTAGATGCCCATCATGGCCAATGGTTAGGAATGATGGGGAATTGTTGTTCTAAAGACCTGGAGGGCACCAGGTTGGGGAAGGCTTCCTTAAGAGGACACAGAGAATCCCCTGATAATCATTAGGCAGGGAACCCCAAGTATGTACAAAGACACTCAGGAGCAAAGTGCTAGTAGCTGAAGCTTCTCAGAAGGTGGCAGAGGAGGGGAAGATGCGGTTGCCTGTGAATATAAAGGTGAGCTGTGATTGCAGATGGCACCAAAATATGCTTGTATGACTCTGATAATATGTCTTGTGTGGTTTGTTCTTGCTTTATTGGATAGGACTGCCTGTCAATGGTTAACAAAAGTGCATGACATGGGCTTGGATTCTAGGATAAGAACTTTGTGAAGTTCATGGGAGGAGAGTTCCCGGTTCCCTCACCCTTCCTTTGCAGGCCCTTTCCCTGAAAGGCCTTTCTACTTGACTGGGGGCCTTCTTGTACAATATGGGATGTGCTTTCTGGGAGAGGTTGGGATCAACCCAAACTGGGCAGACCTTTGCCCAATTTGGACTGATTTCCTCTCTGTCCCAACAACTCCTTTTCCCACACCCTTCGAGTGGCTGGCTGCAAAGCGGAAAGGGCTTTTTAATGCTCCTGTTAATTTTCTTTAATATTCATGCTGAAGGAACTTTAGCTGGTGTGAAATGGGACACCTGTGGAAATTTCCCCTTTGGCACAACTATTAAAGTGCAAGAGCTGTGATTTCTCCTGCTTCTGGCCACCATATTTATTGGCTGAGAATTTTGCTGCAGGCAGGACTGATCAAGCTAGCTTTGGTGCAGTGTGGTTGTGTGAACACATTAGTAATGCCAAGGAGCTAGAAGGGGGTGCAAGCTACATTCATGTTCTGAGTCATCTAGGAATAACTACTGGATCTACAGACCAATGGGCTATTTTTTCAGGTACATGCAATAATAGGCACTCTAGTAATTTCCATGCTTGAAGAAAGTCAGGAAAATCCTTCATCCTCTTGAAGTACTGGAAGAACCATTTGGAGCCTATCTTAGGAGTCTCAAAATCTGCATCTAGGAACATAGAAAACTGCCTAATACAGAGCCAGACACTTGGTCCATTCAGCCCAGTATTGTTGGAGACTGACTGGCAGCTGCTGTCCAGCATTTCAAGTAGGGTTTTTTCCCAGTCCTGTTTGGAGTCACTGGCATTTGAACCTGTGATCATCATCCTGATCATCCCCTATTGCTTGAGATTTGGGATCAGAATCTTAGTTACTAGACAGTGTGAAACGACGGCAATCTACAGGTGAACATTGTGTGGCTCTTGGCGTCTTCCCCACATGTAGGTAGGGTTGTGTACTCCCTTGCCAGCTTGCAGCAACCCAGATATTCTGCTTTCCTCCCTTTGTCTCCTGGCAGAGGATGTCAGGGGAAGTGCCCTTGCACATCAACATCAAGGAGCCGCGATGGGACCAGAGCACCTTCATGGGGAGAGCGAAACATTTCTTCACAGTGACGGATCCCCGCAACCTTCTGCTCTCAAGCAAGACTCTGGAAGAGGCCCGGAGGGTGATTGAGGATTACAGGTTCTCTTGTTAGTCTGGGGATTGTTTTGGCTCTTTGGGTTGTGGTGGTAATAGCAGTGGCTAGGAGACTAGGAATCCTGAAGGATGTTATATAGACTGTGGGACATTTTTATGCATTTGATACAGTTGTGGCACCTCCCATCTCTCTATTTAATGGAAGTGAGAGATCCCCCCCTTATTCCTCTTCTGAGTGCTCTCCCGTGGTTCTCTGCCATTCAGTCTAATGACTGTGGTAAGTAGCATATTTGCAGTGAAGCAGCTGGAGAGAATGGATGCCAGGTGGGGCTCGGCATTTAGGCAGGCTGGGCAGGTAATGCTTGCAGAAGATCTGTGGACAGCCTTGCTTTCACTGCCGTCTAGTACTCAAATTCTCCAGTGGAGTAGTGACTATTTGGTGCCAGGCTTGGCTGTAGCTCAAGTCCATTGCACCATTTGTAGAGTGTAATGGCCCCATTTCCCCCCTCATCTTCCTCATTACAACTTGCTGGAGTGGTACCAGTCTCAGGATGTCTCAAAACAGAGCCTCAGGGCAACTGGAAGCTGGGTTCAAATCTTCACTTGGCCATGAAACCCTAAAGCTGGGGCCAGTCCCAGCTCTCAGCCTGACCTCCTCAAAGAGTTGTGGGGACAGAGTGGAGGTGAGGAAGACTATATGCATTGTCTAGAATGCCTTGGAGCTAAGATGGGAAATAAATGAGATCACATTCATTCATCTCCTTTCTCTTTCTAAGTGCCTTGTTGCCCTGACTTTCTCTTGTAGCTGCAGATAAAGCTGCTTTGTCTCCAAAACCTGCCCCAAACTCTTTTTGGTACACTGCACATGCTGTTTCTCTCCTGCAGTGACTTCTGTAGCATAACCATTCCTTTCCTCAAGCTGCCTCCAATCTTTTGTCTTGGGAATCCTTCCAGGTTGGGGAAGGTGTCACCAGGACTGACTGAGGACCAGTTGTGGCGGGCCAAATACATCTATGACTCAGCCTTCCATCCGGACACCGGTGAGAAGATGATCCTGATTGGGCGAATGTCTGCTCAGGTGCCCATGAACATGACCATCACTGGCTGCATGCTCACCTTCTACAGGTATGTCCACAGCTTCCAAGTTCTGCTGTCTTGCAAGGGGACAGTGCAAGTAGTGGGAGTGGGGCTGGTGGGAGACAGGTTTTACGAAGGGTCTAAATATGTGTGGCATGACACCGACCTATAACGGGCTCTTTCCGCATCTTCCTTTTTCTTTCACTAAAAACATTTTGGACTGGACCAGATGGCAGCACTGGAGAATGGGGGCTTAACATTTCGCCCCATGGCACGGAGCTATTACCTTGCCAGACCTTGGTAAATGCTAGCTATGGGGCAGAGGAAAGATTTAGGTCAGGGAATGTGGGTGGTGGAAAAAATAACCCTGGCTACCCCAGTGTTACCCCTTGATGCAACTTGCCCACGGCCCAAAACATGGTTGGTTTGAATGCTGCATTGTGTTTCATTCTGCCCTAAATCTGAAGGTGTAGGGAAGATTGGTACTGGCTGGTCTTTGGATCCCTGGACAGGAATAGGGAAAGGGCTCCTTTAAGCTGTTGCAATAGTCCCTATATGTGCATTTTGATGCAACTAAGTCAGTGAGCCACACTTCCCCAATCTGGAGTCTTCTTCCTATTTTGGACTTCAGTTTTCAGCATCCTGAGGCAGCATTGCCAATGGTCAGGGATTTGAGAACAATGTCTGGAGAACAATGAGTTGGGGGAGGCTGCTGTGAAAGTGTTTGTTTATGTTTGTAGTGTCTGCATGTGCAAGACTGAGCATGACAATGGATATATTATTATAGGAACTTATTTTATTATGTGTTTTGTTAATGTACTGTTCATGTCATAGTATTTTATTGTAAACTGCTCAGACAACCCTCTGGGCTATGGGACAGTAAATAAATGTAATAAATAAATAATTGGGGAATGATTGGGCATATGCGGAACTTTGATAGAGCATTTTAAAATCAGAGTTGGTGTGAACACATCTGAACCAGTGCTGTGATGAGTTGGTGCCCATGGGCACTCCGGCTAAGGCACCAGGCCTGATGCAACAGAGTAACAGGTATTGTCTGTCAACCTGGAGTGTGAACAAGCCCAGGCTCCTGAGTCTTCAAGCACTCTCAGTCCCTTGAGAACAACTGGCCAAAGATCCCACCGGGGACTTCTGTGCAGCCCTCTTGCATCCACAGCTAAGCTACAGCTTTTGCTCATCACATTGTGAGTAACCTGGTTGTAAAATTTTTGGTTTAGCATACCAAAAATGTGGTGTGCCCTTTTTAGCTTCCTCTCTTTTACTTTCCAAAACACACAGACTGGGTTTTGGTGAAAACAGGTTAAAGATTTCATAGGGATTATGGAAAGAGTACAAAATGGGGACAAGGTCAATCAGTTTCAGAGCATAAAGCAATAAGCAGCTTAAAGTGTCAATTCAGTGGTAAATGAAAATAAAATAGAGAATATAATCCAGCTAGCACAGATCGCTGTAATAAATTTATCTTGGTGGTGCGTATGTCAGATCTTTTCCCTTCTTTGGGTAAATTTACACCCTAGTACCTATAGAGAGGAAAACCTTGGCGCAATCTCCTCTGATCAAGCTCTTCCTCTCCCCGGGAGAGTTGCTATTAACAGCAATACTGAGAAAGACCCCAGACTTTCTTTCCCAGTGGAGTGTGTTTTCAGTGCCCCCTTCTTGCTTTGGCACAGATTACAGAAAAATCATTTGCTTTTTGTTGACTGACTGTCCCAAAATTGCTCATCCTCAGCTCTGAGATGGACTCCAGAAGATTCTTCATTGTTTAAGGCACCTGGGTGGTTTACTATTCAATAGGTTTGCTAAGTAGAGGCATGTGGCCTCCCCAGCCAGGCATCTGCATTGCATTGCCAGCGTCCAGATGGCCTGGCCTTTAGCTTTAGCAGAGAGCTGCAACTGATTACACAAAGGGATGTCTCATGCTCTTGGACCTGGGCGAGATGGAGTCTGAATGGCTGCTGCAGGCCAGCCCTAACAAGGGATTACATATGTGTTTAGAGCTCTGGAAAGTTGAGCACCTGCAGCAGGCCAGATGTGTATGAAACTACTTGGGTATTTCTGGGACTGTGCATCCCATATTGCCCATGTTTTGGGTGTTTTTGTGTGCATGGGCAGGCCAGAATGTTCATGACAAAATCTAAAAATGTGAGTGTGTACAGGAGCATGAGCTGAAAGTCCTGTGACTTACAGATGAGTGTACAAAACCACAAGGAGGCTGTATTGAGTATGTGCCTGTGAGCTGAGACGAGCACACACTAAATGGGTACATAGGGCCCTCCCGTCATTCTGGTTTCTGTCAAGCTTGGTTTTGTCTGCCTAGTGCTCTGTGGGAGCCCTGACTTCTCTCTTTTCTTTTAGGACAACCCCTGCTGTGTTATTTTGGCAGTGGGTGAACCAGTCATTCAACGCCATTGTCAACTACACTAACCGGAGTGGGGATGCCCCCATCACTGTCAAGTAAGAAGACCCCAAGGCCATTGGGGGTGGATGTGAATCTCTGTGGGGTCTTGCACTGGAGAGCCATGCAACTCTCTGGGATCACAGCAGCTGCAGGCCATGATGGCAGCAGGCCGTGCAATTTTTTAGGACTTGCGGACCATCAAACCCCGAATGGTCTGCTCTGTAACCCCAGAGGGGTGTGCTGTGCGATGATTCCATGCTCGCTTAGAAATGTCTGAATAGAGTACTCTTGATCTGGCCAGCTGGCTGGTTTTTTGCTCATTTCCCCACAACGAATAGTCAGCAAGCTGTGCCACTGAGCATTTTCACTGGTCTGTTTTGCGGTGTTTTCCCCATGCCTCAAGATTCCGCCCTCCTAAGTTGCTTTGTATTTCTGCAAGCCTGGAGGTTTCCATCAAGCATGTGGATACCTTTCTCTTGTTAACGGCTCATGCTGTTTGGGCTACAGAAGGATTCATGCTTGAGGAATGAGTTTGCAGTTTGTGTATTGAATGTTATATTTCAGAGTCAACCTCTAGCACTGAAATTTGTTCTAATATATAGTTGGGATTCCTCAGAGTGAGGGTGGGGGAGATATTATTATTATTATTATTATTATTATTATTATTATTATTATTATTACATTTCTATGCCGCCCCTTGCTGAAGCCTCGGGGCGGCTTACAACACAATAAAATACATTGAAATACAATAGAACATAATAAATTACCATTAAATACAAAAATACAAAAAATACACTGAGATACAAACAAAATAATATAAAATTAAAATTAACAGTATAAAATAAGTAAATAAAGAATATAGGAGGAGAAAAGAGAAGGAAGAAGAAGATAAAAGTGGGGATTTGGGAATGGGGAGTAAGAAGTGGGAATTCAGAATTGGGGCAGGGGAGGAAATGTACCTTGGGCCTGGGACAATAAAAAAGTGCCTGCAGTTCCAAAGAATTATGGCCACATGAGTCCAGAGGCTTGAAATTTTGTCCTCACAGCTTCTAGGTTGAAGTTCTAGAGAACACCTGGGGGATAATTTTTCAGAGATGAACAAAGGAAGGTAGCCTGGACTGGGGGCAGTGTGCCCAAAATTTGTGAGTTGCAGGGACTGGTGTTGGCAATTTTGTCAGGGAAGACTGAAAGGAAAAGCAGGTGGGCAGTGGTAAAGCTCTGCTGCCGTGATGGAGACCTGATGTGTAGAAGCAGGAGAGGAAAGTTGGGCAGGAGGGAGAAGGTAGCAGCTCTAGGAATGGAGTGTCCTGACATGGGCACTTAGCCCTGATTCTTCTATTTTGACCCAATAATCAAGTTCTGTTTCTAGGGATAGGTTTAGGGGGTGGGCTAGATGGGAGAGTCTCTTGGCCTCACCAAGGTTGCCTGCTTTCTTTGCAGCCAGCTGGGCACTGCCTACGTCAGTGCTACCACTGGAGCTGTGGTAACAGCACTGGGACTGAAGTCTCTCACCAAGGTAGGGAATCTGCTGGCACTGCCTGTCTGGGAACAGAGTAGGATCCTCTCTAGACTAACCCCCATGGCATGATTGAGACAGCTGGGAGGCAATTCCTGTTCTCGGTGCTTTTGCTGTGCCATTTGTATGTTAACCGTGCAACCCGCTTTAATGAAAATGACTCTTTTTCATTTAAGAAGCACATCATTTATGGGATCTTTGTTAAATGAACATATTCCCATTTTTGCATGTCTGACATGTTGACATCCATCTGGAACACAGTTGTAGATTTCATTGCAAATTGCTCCTTGCATTATTCAGAGGCCGGGCAGAAAGGACCCGTTGTTTCTTCTTGCATCAAGTTTAGCCCATGGTTGAAGCAGCATTTGCTGGAACTGACATGGCGAAAGATGAAGGTTGACGTTTGATTGCATTGAAGATTAAGAGACATGTCCAAGTTCACCCAGATAATCAGCGGGGGAAATTAGCGTTAGTGCCTGATTGCCCTAAGTCTTTGCACTCATATAAAACATGAGTTGTGCATCCTGCAGATACTTTGATCTCTAACGTGGCTTTCTGCTTCTCTTTCTATCTAATCCTCCGTGGTAGCATTTGCCACCAATCATTGGACGCTACGTGCCTTTTGCAGCTGTGGCAGCTGCTAACTGCATCAACATCCCTTTAATGAGGCAGAGGTAAGACTGGACTCACGTGTTGCTTGAGGATCTAATGGGGACCTGCTCCATGAAGTCAAGGTCCTCAGAATTTTCTACAGCTTGCATTTTACTACCACTGGTGATCTGATCCAGCAGGGCTTTTCTTATGTTTTTGTGTGGTCCTATACCTCATTGTACCCGATAAGCCTATTTTGGGTAGCCAACAGGGTAGATATTTTTGAGAACAAATCTGGTCTCATACTTCTGTCTGGGAGGTGAGGAAGCTTGGAGAACTTACGCTCAGAATTATGGATTTACTGATGGCAAGAAAAAGGAGAAGCTGCCAATTGCAATAAAGAGCTGCATTTTTTCCTCAACCATTTCTACAGGGAGCTAAAGTTCGGTATCCCCATTACAGATGAGAATGGAAATCGGCTGGGTGAGTCCAAGAAGGCAGCTCAGCAAGCCATCATCCAGGTGGTGGTGTCTCGCATCGGCATGGCTGCACCTGCGATGGGTAAGCTGCTGCTGCATTGGCAGTTGCTCTTAGCTGGAACTAAAGAAATACTAGAAATTCAGTGCATATTCTCTAGTTGTACTCCAATAACCCCTGTTTTTACTTCCCCATCAAACTTAATTTCAATAGTATCTTTACCTGTGATATGTTGCAGTATTTAGGAATACTGCAGTTGCCACCTGGCAGGTCAGAGTCCTTGTGCATCTAACCAGCAGCACTGTCTACTCTGACTAACAGTGACTCTACAGGGTCTCAGGCAATAGCCTTTCCCAGCAGTTGCTGCCCGATGCTGTTAACTTTGAGGAGTGGGTTTGTTTTCTTTCTTTGTCTGATGCATAAATGCCACATACTTTTGTCCTTAGGTCCTGAACATTTCTAACATGGTAAAATCCCAGTTAGGTCATTGACCTTATGTGGATTCAGTGCTTGCTACTGGATTCAAGCCATTGTGGGGCAAGAAAAAAATTTTTTTTAGGTAATATACCATTTAGGATTTAATCCCCCAGTTGCTGGCAGGGTGACTTAGGGGCCATAGGATATATTGAATCTCCTCTTTGGAGAGAGAGAAGTCTGCCCCTGAAGTGGGAGATCCAACCTCAGAACTTTCCTCCTAGCCACTATGGAAACCTCCACCGCTGGTTTATCTCCAACATCAAAAAGAGGACAGAAAAGCACGCAGGGAGACTCTAGGAGATCTCCATATCTCCTGATCCCCAGACCTGCTCCCATCTGGGCCAGTCCCAGAGCTAGTGTGGATTTAACGTGAGGGAATCTGTGAAAAATAAAATGAAAGGCATGGCTGGGGAAATTAAACAGCAGTGTTGCTCCTTCTTCACTTCAGCCTTACTCATGGGAGAGCTTTAGATATGGCGATTCATCGACCTGCAGATCTCCTCAGCACAACAGTCAGGATTGGTACACTAGGAATAGACGTCAGTTCTTGCCAGTTGGGGCATTAGACTGAGCAGCAGCATGAGAACGATTCATACTCAAATAGTAAGTTTCAGAGTACCCTCAAGCAACTCCCCCAAATAATTGGCTGTTAGGCAGTACAGAAGTTGAATGAAAGACTGTTTGACTGTTTCTGGGAATGAAACCAGAATGCCCCCTTTATTCCTTCTCTGTGCAGACTTGCAGCTGGGTAGGTGTGTCCTCCATCCTTTCCTTACCTCCTCTCTCTTCTTCCTCATAGCCATCCCTCCAGTGATCATGAATGCACTAGAGAGGAAGGCATTTCTGAAGGTAAGTCTTTTGGACATTGATTTGAGACTGCAAATCTTAATGCCTGCAGCTCTTGTTTCTTTCCTGGCATGTACCACACTTATTGTGCAGTGAATGTTCTGCTTTATCATTTAGTCATACAAAATCTAGTGTTTTTTTCTTTGTTTCTGTGTTGTGTTGCAACCCCACAGCTATGGTGGTGGGAGGGTTTGTTTGTTATTTTGGAAGGTCTGTTTCCTGCCACTTTGGGAACAGTGGGATCAGTTGAAGTGCGGAAGACCACAAAAGCCATCAAAGCTTCTGTTGAAGGTTGGCTGGCTTTCTTCTGTTTTTGTAGGCTTTAAACCTTGGCACTGTGCTTAGATAAAATTGCATGATGCCTTTGCTCACATAGTCTCTGGATCAGGCTCAGAAAAGTTCACTTAGATTATCCCCTGAGAATACTACTGCTAAATCTGTGTGGACCACAAACTGGGTTTGCTGCTTTGCTGTGAGTGAAGCAGAGCCGTGAGCGAAAACCACTCCTCTGTGTTTTCTTCCAGCGATATCCCTGGCTGAATGCTCCTCTGCAGGTCGGACTGGTCGGACTGTGGTAAGCGTGCTCTTTCCCTTTGTGCAAATAGGACCACCTTACATCGGGGAGAGAAAAGGCTGCCAGTGTTTCCCTTAGCAGCTCATGAAGTTGGCTTATAAGACTATCTTTGCACTGGGATGAGGTGGTTGGAGTGTCAGAGGAGGACTGGGAAGATCTGGCTATGGATCCGGCCTCAGCTTGGAAGCTCATCAGGGGACCTTGGGCCAAGCAAGGCGTTTGAGTGGAGCCAGCTTGCAGAAGCAACAGAGGCCATTCTTTGAAGTAGTAAGATTGTGGCAGTTGGGCATATGTGTGTAATTAAAGGGCCTGATTCTTAGAAAAGAATTAAAATAAACATCAAGACTGTTGTCTCCCTGAGGTAGCTCACAGGCAGTGCAATAAGTGCAGCTGTTAACCTCAGTCATGCACTGAGAGGACTCCATATTCCAATATGCTGTTTCTGTGATGGCAGTTGACTTGACTTTTCAGGAAGTGGAGTGGTGGAACCTGAAAAGGTAGGGATGCTGAAGACAAGTTCCTCTGCTCATTCAGTGTACCAGACAGCTGTCCTGTATGCACCAAAAACACAGGGGCAAAGCATGTTGGCTCCCCCATCCCACCCCTCATGGTTGGTGGAGACGTTGGTTATTTCCTCTGGGAAACTCATGAGCCATCCAAGGAAGAAGTGAGATCTAGAAAACATCTCGCCTGTCTCTTGTCTCTCCTTCTGCAGTTTGGTGTTTGCTACGCCCCTTTGCTGTGCACTCTTCCCACAGAAGAGGTAAGTATTCCTCTGGCAAGCACTGACATGTTTATGATCTCTGATATTTGCAAGTTTGCATTAGTTTATTGGTAATCAGCAAGGTAGGATTTTCTTTAGGAAAATTTGGCATCTGTATTCCTCAGGAGTCCTGTTACAGGCAGGTAGCTGCAGCTTATCCATCAGTTCTGCTCCCTGCAGACAGGGTCACAGCTCAATGTTATAGTTTATACTTTGCATGCAGGAAGTTCCTGGTTCGATCTCTGGCAGCATATCCAGGTAGTGGACCAGGTAGCAGGTGATGTGGAAAGATTCCAGTAGATAATACTGGAGTAGGTGGGCAAATGGTGTGACCTGGTGTGAGATACGTTGGTATGTTCCTGTGCCTCTTCTCTGCTGCAGTGACTTCCTCCCATGGAGAAGGCAGTACCCCCTGCATTTTCAGAGACTGAACACCATCTGTCATGGTTAGGATGTTTGTGTCATGCTAAATCCATGGTCAAAATGGCCAGTGCATAGATTTCACCCTGAACAGAATTTCAAGTTGCCAGCAAGTGCTCACTTAGCATGACAGGTGTAGACATGTGAGAGAAACAGATAAATTTAATACAGATACAGGTTAGTTCAGCTCTTTGTGAAGCTGACCTGTGGATTCTGCAGCAGGCTTGCCCTTTCTGAGTCATTTGGCCTTTACTTTCTGAAATTGAACATAAATTTAGACATACAAAGATATGAAAAATACACCAACTGAAGATGCACCCTTTCCCCCTGTGCTAAAGTGCAAAAATACAGATGTGGCAGGGGGAATTTGTGTATTTGCACAAATATGCATTTTGGAAGTACATATTTATACATCTTGTTTTATTTTTCACCTGTAGTCTTCAAATACAGAAAAGAGCTTCAGTCAGAGCTAACCAGGATTCTGAACAAAGAAAAGCCACATTCTGTATAAATTATGTAAATATATGAATTTCCATACATTTGTGTATTCTCATAATTGATTCTGGGAAAAGACAAACAGCTATGGAAAAAATTGAGGCCCTATCTATCAAGCTGTGGAAACCACTGTAGCCAGGTCTAGTTGCAGATGACTACAATTCCCACTATCCCCAGCCATCATGGCCATTATATGATCACTGTTTAATAAACTACATCACACTTTACCGCTGGTATGATCATTTTTCTGTTTGTCCAGTCTGACCACACTCCTTTCCCCTGGCTGCCCACCTTTCCTCTGACTACCAGTTATTGGGGTACTTTTCAGGCTTTTTATAGTCCCCCCCTTTCTGAAAGGTTGAAATGCTTTGCTTGAGGCTTCATTACTGGCAGTAATAAATTTAAGTTAAAATAAACTGCTATCTTGGCCTTTTGCCTTTGGTTCCACGTGGCATTGGTATGCAGCCCCCAAGAACTTCTCGAATGGAATTTGGCCCTTGGACTGTGAGGGGTTCCGCACCCCAATCCAGGACCCTAATTCTCTAGCCTCCCTTCTTGGCGTCACTTCTGTGCAAACTGTACCTGTGATGGGGTTTCAAGTAAACGGTGTATCCTTTCCCTTTGCAGCTCGATGCGGGTGAGCCGCCTGGAACCGGAAATCCAAACTCTGATCAGGGAGAAGAACTCTGGTGTTGAGGTGGTCTATTTTAATAAGGGTCTTTGAGAGGTGCTTCTTCCTACTTCCCTGGTATGCAGCAGAAAGGATGGGAGGACGAGGAACCAGGGACCGGTGCTCCTGAGGAAGAAGTTACATGTTGTTATAGTATAATCTTTTAAAATGCTGCTCTGTTGTTGGCTGTCATATCTTGGCAGGTCCTCTATAATCTTCCTGGAATCAGGTGAACCCTAGGGGTAGATTGTAGTGTGGCAGCGGTTGTCCCTGCGAACAAAGCAGACACATTCCAGTCTTGACCCAGTTAGGTGTCGGGATCAGTGGAGTCAGTCCTTAAATAAACCCAAATCCCTATATCAGGCATAATTCCACAGTGTTCTGTAAAGGTGTGTGTCTCACTACGTATACAGTCTCTTTGAAATAATGTTGTTAAAAATGACAGATCATTCTGGGGAGAGCAGAATCTGTACAGCAGCTTGAATCCCTCAAGAATTGGCCTAGGGAGGAAATCAGCTTGCACTGCATCCAGTTCGAACAGGATGTATTTAGTGCTAAAGAAAAACATTGTGTTTCCTTGAAGAAGCTGTGTGCTTTTGTGATACTCACACCAGTGACACAGGAATGTGTTTGTGTCAAACATTCTTTAGCTTTACAAGCAAACAGGTTTGCATAAGAAACCTTGTATTTGCTTGCTACTTCCATCGTTTGCATCAGGGAAAATGTGTGTGTGCAAGAATGACAATACATGCCACCTTAAAACTACAGAAATCATGATACAGTTTGAAATTTAGTCAGATATGCATGTAAGAAAATAAGCATCTAGAGCCTTAATTGGTTATGAAGCAATTGATTATGCAAATATATGTGTAAACAGAACCAGCTAAATGCAAATGGATTATCTTTCAGAAATCGACAGTTCAGGACACACATCTAAAAGTTCAAGCAAAGGTGTGGTTTTTGTGGGTATTACAAAGGTACATAGAAATCAACAGGTATAAGCATATCTTTGATTTGAAAACCATAAAAACCCAACTGCAAAACCAAGTTCTAGAGGCCTCAATCCCCTTATTTTCTGTTTTCCTAAATTGTGCATAACCATAGCATCTTTTCATAATTTTACTGGGATGGCAGTGCTTTGTTCAAAAATAAGGTCAAAGGGCAATAGATGGAAGTGGCCTTCAGACTGAGGATCACTTCTCTCTGCTCATCATGCTATTGTGGCTTCTACATCATTTGATGAGGCAAGTGTCGTGGCAACAGTACCTCTAGGTGTGGTATGCATGCTGTTCTCCTCTCCCAAAATGAAAGAAAATTCCCTTCTCTGACCCTGCTTCACTAATATCCATGTTTCTGAACATTGTTTTTGTCCAAAATATAAGCTTGGGCAAATCCATCTTCTGTGTTATGTGGAAAATATATTGACTCTCCTTTAAAGCACAAATGACAATCTTTGGTAAGAAGTCATAAAAGTATCGATCTGGGATGCAGTCTGACTTGTGCTTTGCTGGAAAGACTGAGACAGCTGTGTGGGTGCTGGACGGGGAGAGGCACAGCCTCACGAGAGCGCATGCATCCCTTCTTTGACTCTTTATGGCTAAGTCAGGAATTGGTATCCAAGAAAGGAGGCAACATGTAGGCAGAAAAGTTTTTGCAGAATTTCCCTGTATTGATCATGGCGCTTGCGATGTAATCCTACAGTTCCTTCTGTCTGCCATGTAGACTTAATGAAAGGATCAGCAGAATTGCATGCAGTGATCAGATGCACTGAATCAGCACATTCCTACCCTGATGGACTCTTTGGGTGGATATGCCCATATCGCTCACTTAAAAAATCAAAGGCAGACGAGGGGCAGAAGCGCATTCCCTTCGCTGATGGCTTGGAGAGGTCGAACTGGCCACAGCTGTAGTGATGCTCGTTCCTGTAATCCTCAGTGTTCTGCATTCTGCACAATCCAGCATCAGCTGCTATTTGCTGAAGTGCAGAACCTTTCATTGAAGGTCATTCTGGCCACTAAGTTCATCATCAGAAGGGTCCAAAGGCATGGCTTAATTAAGCACCACCTGCACATCCACACGAAGCTAACTGGGAACTGATGTACATGATGACACACATATTTGCTTGCAGAGAGGGATCAAGAGCATAACTGGCCAGTACTGCCTTCCCCAAAGGTGTGGTAAAAGGTCAGGGACTTAATCCAGTTTTCTGTGGAGCAAATCACTTATTTTAATTTGAGCAAAGCAGCCTGGGCACATTTCTTTGCTTCTGTATAAATGTCATCATTGCTGGAGGTTGAGGGGTCCAGGAGAGGTTGCGCTGTGCTTTTTATGTTTACTCTTAACAAAACCTCGTCCAACAAGTTTATGATGGATTGCTTGATTTCTTTTCTCTTGTTGTATTATGCTGGATTATATTTGAAACATTTTACCAAACCTAAAACAATGTTTCCATGCAGGAATCCACACCGATTCCATGTCATACCTCCTGTATAGCTTTAAGCAAGGCAACTTTTTTGAAATAAAGTGTGTAATTTTAGTATCTTGCATGTGACTTTGGTGCTTTCTTGGAGTGACAGAACCAAAGCATTCTTTTATTAGGCTTTGTTAGGGCATCCCAAATATTTCACAAAATGCAAGTAAGCTTCCGAGTATTGCACAAGTCTTCATCTGGCCAGATGATGAAGCATAAGAGAGAGGAAAAGTGGCTGCTGCTGAAGTCATGGAGTCTGCATCTAGTCTCCAAAGTAGGCATAGAATCATAGAACAGTAGAGCTGGAAGGGACCAGGGGGCCGTTGGGTACAACCCCCTGCTCAGTGCAGGATACCGGGTTAAGCCCTCCCTCTCAGATGGCCGTCCAATTGTATCTTGAATGCTTCTAATGTGGAAGAGCCCACAGCCTCCTCGAGTAATTGGCTCCAGTGTTCTACTGCTCTTAACAGGAAAATTTCCCTGATATCTAGGCAGAATCTGCCTTCCTGCAACTTACGCCCATTATTCCATGTCCTGCACTAAGGGATTATCAAAAGAGATCCTGTCCTGCCTCTTTGTGACAGCCTAGCCATGACTAGGTTCTGTGTTGTAGCAGTGTTTTCCCCCTGTTTTTGAAAGCATTAAATCCAGCTGTTCACTATCTATAGGTGAGCCACATAGGTGGCATGGTAGATGGAAGACAGGCAGCAACAATTTTAACTCATTCAGGCTAGAAGTATATCTGCGTAGAAGTGGTTGCTGTCTGGTTCAGCATATAGTCTTCCAGAGCAGTAAATTGGGAATGAAGTAACGCTACCTGACAGCAATTTGCCAAACCTTGCTATGTTGGCTTTTCAATTGGCAATCCCAGTTAACTCCTTAATTTGCCCACTAAGTAACAGTAGTGCTTTTTCTGCCTATCTCTACTTGTACAACTTTTCTCTTCTGGTGAGTAAAGTAACTGTGAGGCTCTTGGTACCCTAAAAAGTGCTATGGAAATGATAAACGACAATGGCTAACTCACATCCCATTGATTTCTGTGGGTCTGCTCCAAGTATGACTAGGCCTGAATTCCAGCCTAATCAACACATGTAGCTCACTTATACTAAGTCAGGCAATTGCTCAGCCGAGCTCACTCAGTATAGCCAGTTTTCGCTGGCAGGCAGTGACTCTTCAAAGCAGCAACCAAGGGTCTTTCGCAACCTTAATGTCCAAGGGCCTTTTGGCTGAAGAAGGAGGAGATGGAACTCTCCACCATATTTAGTGAAAGCACATGCTTTGGCTCTGAGGAACAGCATGCTCTGTAGTTTGTTCTGGCTTCCAAGCAGGCCTAGCATCTTCCGAATTTAGCTAAGAGACCCTGGCCCTCGCTGACATGTCATATCTGTGGTGCATCTCCAGTGCTGGAGGCTGTATGTCAACATATCCCAGTTGCTGGGGAACATGGGTTGAGGGTGCTGTTGTACTCGTGTCCTGGTTGTGGGTTTCTTGTCGTTAGCCCTAAGTACGAACAGAATGCTGAAGCAGATGGATGCTTGGTCTGACCTGGCAAGGCTTTTCCTGTGTCCAGTGAAACAGTGACTCTCACAGGAAGGCATGACTCAAGTGAGAAATGACTGAGCCCAAAGCCGAGGGGAAGGGGGCAGGTGCTGCCCCGTGCGCACATCCCCATCTGCTCGCCACGTGAGCCTGCTGCCCGTCCCTCCTGCCGCTTCCTCCGGCTTAGCATATTGCATGGATGTGTTTGGGATGAGCCATCAATCAATGGCTGATAAATAATGCAGGAGTCTGCAGCGCAATAAGACCTGCCAGTTGCAATGCCGCCCTCATAAATTAAAGATGAAAAGGTACAAGGCTCTTGCCAGAAAAATGAAGACAAATTTTTAATAGCTTGCCAAGATGCTGTGAGATGGAATACGCAAGAAAAATGAATTACATTTTTATTATGTGTTTTATTATGCTGTAATGAACGGGATTAGGCAAGAATACAATACATTTCTAATGCAGCTGACTGAAAGAAGTCCCCCCACTTTCCCTCTCTGAACCTCTCGCTTCCTTTTCCTCCGTGTGCAAAGAATCTGACTCTGCGTTACAGAGCATTCAAAAGAGGAGAAACCGACTTAATGTGTAAGCACCCAATGAAAGTGAGGGAGATGCAGTCATTCTACTGTGGGTTGACCCAAACTACAAGATCAACAGGTCGAAGTTGGAGAACACAAGTGTGGAGTGGTGAATGAATGACCTTCTAGATGTTGGACCACACCTCCCCATCAGTCCTAACCAGGATAGCCAATGGTGGATGAAGGTTGCAAGCTAACATCTGGAAGGCCACACGTTCCTCATGCTTAGAAGAAATGGAAACTCCAAGTTATTAGCCAAAGATTTGACACATTATTTCAAAGCAATGTGTGAAAATTCAAGCTTACTTTACTGCTACAATTTTTGGCCATGTTCCCCTCTCAACTAATTTTCTCTCCAAATTTTTCTTCCTGTCTCAGACTCCTCTTATCTTCTGGACCAGTAGTTTTCAAATGTTTTTCTCCCTTCTCTTTGGACTATTTGAAAATTTCTGGGGGCCTTGGCAGATCACTTTTTAAACTTCACATCCTCCAAAAATGCACATATATAACTTACATTTTAATATGATTTTCTGTAGTGCCATCTTCATGAGATAGTGGCACGAAATTCATGGATCCTAGCACTACTAACTGGTGAAATAGGAAACTGGGGAAACCTAGGTGAAAATAGGAAACTGAATGAATACCACTATAATGAAAAGCACAGGCCTTTGGTAGGGCTATGTTAGACTGGTTAATAATTTGGCCCTGGTCAAACAACCTAGGATCTCCACATCAATATGTACAGATATTCTCAGCTGTCTTTCATCAGTTGTGTGGATTATATCAATGGAGTTTATGAATTATGGATTGTCTGTGGAACATTGCTTTCCTCATGGCCTTGTTCACTGCCTTAGGCCTTGCTTCTTACTTCTGGTCTATCTTTTCCCCTAATGTTTTCCTTCTGCTCTCTCTCTGCTTAGCAAATGCTTACTGGAGACCTTTTTGCTTTGCTTTCCTCTCTTTCTGACATTGGAACAGCTCAGCCAATCACAGGTAGAGGCTTCATCTCTTCCACAAAACCAACCCTCTCCAATCCATGTACTAAGCTATTGAAACAGAACTTGTAGATGCCCTGTATTTGAAGGGAACTTTTGTTTCAATCACATGGACTTATAAAACTAATGATCCAACCCTACCTATACTCAGAAAAACAATTTTGCAGCTTTAAAGGATTTCTTATAATAGGCATAAAATTAAATAGTCTTAGCTTCATGTTCTCTTGTGCTGGCACTTCTCAGTACAGTGCCTATAACACTGCAGAAAGGGTCATACAATGAGCTGTAATGTATTGATAAACACTGGGGCCACTTGAGGGAAAGGCTGACTGGGAGGTTGTTTCTATGCATCCTAAATAAATTTCGGCTGCATTATGAAACACATGAAACTGCATTTGAAACCACAGGTGAAACTAATTAAAGTGGACGATGTTACATCAAAGGTGTCTTACACGCAATACAATACATTACTGTACAATGCATGGAATTTGGTGTAGTCCATCTGATCAAATATCTACAGAACCAAAGGGCCAAGTAGCGCTTTCCCACTGTCATGGGGATTCATGCTGTTATATGATTTTGGAGCCACGTGCTCTTAAGTTGAGCCACACACACCCCATACATGCACACGTCTTGATGTCTATCAGAGTTGAAATGCTCTGTGGTGTCCTGGTATGACCTAAATCTACCTTTGGACCCCTTCTGCCTTGGATCCTTGTTTTGCCTTAGGAGAGATGGAATAATCAGTTTCAAGAAGGAAAATGCAGGCTAGAAGCTGTAATATGAAAGAAGGGCAAAATGCTGAACATGCTGTGCCTAGGAAGAAGAAACTAAAACATCCTTCCAGTGATCCTCTCATTTCCAGAGTCTATTCAGCCAGATCCTATCTCCACCCAACAACAGTGGTTATTCTAATTTGAATTAACTAGAATGTGTGTAAGTAAGACACAATAGATTAATAACGGGAGAAAGTGATGAGCTTAAAACTTCAAGCCTATGTCAGCTTCATGTATGTAAACAATTCTGTATCAGAATACTTAAGAAAATGTCTCACCTGACTGCCTGTTTTGTTGCTGCATTCATCAGGAAATGCCATCTTGTTCAAGATTTTGGAAGTTTGGTCCATGGCTCTGCACAGGAGTCATGAATTTCAATTCCCTCAGTTTGTAACTCTCTACAAATCAGGCAGGCAGCAGCTCAGCTGGGTTTTTGCACCTATGGAAAACATACTTCCCCTAAAATCATTCTCAGATAAGTAATCATGCCTTCTGTATACAGCAATACTATGTAGTATTTAACTATGATGTTACATTGTATGTTTCTGCATCACTTAGATGTTTGTCAATTAAGCAATTCGTGTGTGCGCATGTGTGTGATCGCAAAGCTTGCCGTAATGAAACTGAGCATTAAGGTTTGAACGGATTCATACTTTGCTCCAAATAATTTTCAGCATTAAAATCTACAACCTCTTTTTAAAATTGCTCCTGATATCCAGCTGAGGACCAACAAGTTTGCTGGATCTCTCTCCATCCTTCCACCATGCACAATGGAGCAAAATGTAAAGATCAGTCTCTAATAGTGCTGCTGAGGAGTTTGAAGTTGAGCCCACATCAGGTGATTTCCCTGCAAGAAAATACTATATATGAATATTAGATATGGCTAGGACTTAATTTTTACCAGGGCTCACCAGGATCTAGCCCTGGCATCTGGAACATACAAAATATGAAACGAGCTTTTTCCTCACCACTGACTAGCATCACGGACTGGGAGAAAGAGTTTTGAGCCGAAAAGGTACTTCATCTAGATTCATCCATCATCTTTCTCCCTCTCTTAAATAGATGAAGCACTGGGAAGGGAGACTTTTGCCTTTTAGCCAGACAACATACAAACAATATTAGTTTTCTCAGAGAAACAAGTAAATGAGGAGCAAATCAAAACTTGGAGTCCTGAGTATGGATC